AGAAAATGTAAATGTAGAGAAAGAATGCAAATTCAAACTTTAAACTTGGATATCACCACCGAGTGATTTTGATAATGTCTTGGATATCACCACTAAGAAAATAAAATTCATACTTTAATAACCGGATATCACCATTAAGAAAATGCAAATATAGAGAAAGAATGCAAATTTAAACTTTAAACTCGAATACCACCATTGAATGATTTCGATAATGTATTGGCTATCACCACCAAGAAAATGAAATTCCTACTTTAATACTTAGATATCACCACCCAGAAAATGCAAATGTAGAGAAAAAAAAACAAATTCAAACTTTAAACTAGGATATCACCATCGAGTGATTTTGAAAATGTATTGAATATCAATATTAAAAAAATTCATACTTTAATACTTGGATATCACTATAAAGAAAATGCAAATATAGAGAAAGAATACAAATTCAAACCATAAATTCGAATTTCACCACCAAGTGTTTTTTAAAATGTCTTGAATATCACCATCAAGAAAATAAAATTCATATTTTAATACTCAAATGTCACCACCAAGAAAAGGCAATTCTATACTTTAGTACTGGATATCACCATCAAATACTTTAAAAATAATTTATCACAATATTTTTCTTGGATGATGCTTATTTCACTGGGTTAACAACTTTTCTACTAGCTAGATTGGGCTTAAAGCTCTCATCTTGTGCCATCAAAAAAATTCTTAATCTTTTGAATATGTTTTTAATCCTTTCTTTTTTTCTTTCTTCTTTAATGTTTCCAAAATTGGCGAACATGACTATGATGCAAATGTCTCCTCTCAAAATGATAAAAATGATGTAAATAAAATGCAAATGTCTTTTCTTAAAATGATGCACATGAAATGCAAATGTCTTTTTCAAAAATACCATTCCTATCAATGATAGACAAACTAATGATGCAAATGCAAAGTCAAAAGACTCAAATGCTCAAAAAATTTTTTCTTAAAAAAAACCCAAGTCAAGATATGCAACTGCCCAAAATCTTCTTTTTTTAAAATTTTCAAAGTTCTTTTTCTTTTAATCTTGAATCTTTCATCTCATTTCAATTTCAAATCCTTTCTTTGCTGCTCATTTCTCATCAATTTTGCTTTTTTTTCTTCACAATTTCGATTTTTTGACTTTTGTTTCTCATTTTTTCATCTTCAAACCAAACATGCATATGATCAACTCAAACTTGATGAAAGTGAATTAAAGAAAATAAGCCATTGAACTATGGTAAAACTCAACTGATTAAATATATTTTTGTATTAAAAAGTTTTTCTCATAATGCCATTTAGTTTGCTCAAAATTTTTTTTTTCAAAATTTTTTTTCCTTCCCTATAAACATTTTATTTAAATTCTCACAAAAAATTACCTTAGGCAACCTTTATTTGACTTATAAGTCTCTAAAAAAATGGTGATCATTATTATGTACAGACATATCTAAACAGAATGGCAATTCCATCTTTTTAATGGCTTGGATGATTAATTATTAAATTGAGGTCTGCATTATTAAAAGGGACCTTACAACTTGATATGAAAAATTGAATTTTTATCCAGGCTCAACAACAAATTCTTTTGAAAAGGGTTTTTTTATGGTTAAATCAGATTTTACATCTTTTTTAGTATTACAATGTGGTATTTTAATAGATGTTAAGACCAACTATGGTAAATTTAAGATCATATATGGAAAGGCCAAGATTTTCTATGACGACCCTTGCATACTGTCGTAACGTCTAGATCCGGGGATCTATCGCTAGACATTGGACTTTAGGGAGTCGCCACCAATCTTTTTTATCTAGGTGCGATTGGCCACCTAAGGAATCTGTCCTTTCAGGGAACACCTAAGCTTAAGGGTCCCTAAAAGAATAGGTTCAGGTCTACAAACCAGAACAGGGTTCGGGAGTTCGATTACGTGTGAGGAAGGTTATAGCACCCTCACAACGCCCATCAAAAGATGGTACCAGCTTAAATTTGTGTTATCCAAAAGCCTTAAATTTTACCAAGTAGTTAATTAATTGAAAATTATTCTCAATTGACTCTAATACTTTTAGCAAAAAATTGAGAAAATTCCCTCACCTCAAGAGTATGCAAGAAAAACTACTGTTTCACTTACAGAGGCTCCGTCGTCGGATTATTTAAAAAAAAACAAAATCAAAATTAAGATAGAAAGGAAGGAAAGAATAATTTTTTTTTGTAGGAAAAATTGATACTTTCAACTTTTTCCCAAAAATATTTTTTGGAAATTTCGATTTTCAAGGAAAATTGATACTTTCAACTTTTCCTCAAAAACCCCTTTTTTTGAAAATTTATTTCTAAGGAAAATTGATACTTTCAACTTTTCCCCGAAAATATTTTTTTTGAAAATTTATTTCTGAGGAAAATTGATACTTTCAACTTTTCCCCGAAAATATTTTTTTGGAAATTTATTTCTAAGGAAAATTGATACTTTCAACTTTTCCCTAAAAATATTTTTTTGGAATTTTTTATTTTTATTTAAAGAAAATAAAATAATAAAAAATAAATAAAAAGTATATTACATAAACCTAATCTAATAAATAAAAAACAAAATAAACAAATAAACAAAGAAATAAAAAAAATTCAAAAAAAAAAAAAAAAAAAAAACTGGAGCGGCTCGGCTCGGCTCGGCTCAAGGAAGAGAAAACGGCTCGGGGGAGTGGCTTGGCGGCTTGGCTTGGCTCGGCTCGGCTCGGAGGGGGGCTGGCACGCGCGGGTCAGAAAGCGGGTCGACGCCCGGGTCGGGTTCGGCAAAACGCGCGGATCCTTTGGGTTACTTAAGGCCAAAACGACGTCGTTTTGGGAGGGTATAAAAGGCACCTTCCTCCGTTTTTCGGCAGAACGCTCCTCCCCCTCTCTCGCTCTTCTTCCTTTTTCTCTCCCTTCTCTCTAGAAACTGAAGAACACCGGTGCCGGATTCTGGAAATTTTCGCCGGAATCTGGAGATTTCGCCGGATGTTGGCCGGAAGATCGCCGGTTTCTGGGATTCGTCGTCGGAAACTGGACTGGTCGCCGGAAACTTCAATGTTCACCGGAATTGTTGCCGGAAAATTCAAATTTCGCCGGAATTTTCGCCGGATTCTGGAAATTTCCCAGAAATTTCCAGAAAATATTTTCGCCAAAAAATCTCTAAAAATTTTTTCTCACTCCCAGAACACTCCTAAACTTTTCCTAGCTTCCTATACGCCTCCTTTTCTCTCAAATCAGTAGCTTTGCTTACTGTTTTCTGTCTCTGCATTCTTTAGAGTCCCTTTTATCTAAAAATCCTGATCATCCCATTCCTTGGACGGGAATTCAATCTTGAAACGGACTCTTGAATGGCCCTCCACAGTGGGATTTTTCAGCCTTGATCTGATAAAATCAAAATAAATAAAAAACTAGATAATTAAAAGAAATTCAAAAGATATTAAAAAAAAATCTTTAATCAGGAAATCAAACAGACTAAAAAATATATGAAATATATAACTATTTACTATAAATCTAATCTTAAAAATCTAAATAAATTATATATACATAATAAAAATAATAATACATAAAATACAAACTATTGGTAAATTGAATTGGCCTACCATTTGGGCCAGGCCCAATTGATCTGGATCGGACCCAATTGGGTGTCTACACATACATCTCAATCATTAGTGCAATGGGTTTTCATGTTACAATCTCATTCTCACTCTAGATTGCCCATTTTTGGGTTTTCACCCTATAGCTTCATTCTTTTTTTTTCTTTCTTTTTTGATGATTTTATCGTGCACTCAAGTACTCTTGTGATAGAAAAAATTTTGCAAAGAAAAATAAACAAAAACGAAGTTGATCATAAGGATTCTACAAAGAACAAATTCTTTAGTTCAAGTATTCATGTTTGATCGAAATGACTTTTACAAGGTATGTAACATAGGCCAGGGTTTGAGGTTCTGAAGGAATGGATAAATAGGCCTAAAACATGTGTTTGAAGGTAATCAGACCAAAGATCATTTCACATCATATGAAGGACTTTCTTTTGGGCATTCATCCCTTTAATTTCTTCAATCGTAACATTCAATCATCTCCTTTTTTCTTCCTTCTATTTTTGTTTTTGTTTTTTTTTTATTGCTTCCACTTTTGCTCTTTCTTGCATATTCCATCATTTGCTGAAATATGTTCAAAACTTCTAAAACTCAATTTGTTTGACATTTGCTCCTACAACTTACGGCATTCTTCCTTTGTTATCGAAGTATGAATTTATCAAATAGATCCTTTTTTAATTTTTTTCTAATGTAGAAGGTGATACTTGATCAAGGTTTATTTAGAAAGAATTCACTAGGCTCAAAGGGATAGAAAATGGATAATTTTTTTGTTTGTGAAAGGATGAAAAAAGATTGCCATTTGTCATCTTAAGCCTGGTCGCTTATGCTGAAGGGGATGATTGTATGAATAGGTGGGTGTTCAAAAGATCGCCATTTGTCATCCGAGGAAATTTTTATTTATAGAGCCACAGGATGATCAAAATCTTAAAAAATCTAGGATTTTGTTATCTCTTGCAACCTAGGATTAGGGTGGCCATCAGAGCAACAATAGAGCTGTCAAAAAAAAAAAAAGAAAAAAAAGAAAAATAATGGATAATAAATCTAGGATTTTGGCGGTTCGTTCGATTTTGCAAGAGAGCATGCGCATGTGCATTAGCCTGTCAATGGTTCTCTTGCATCAATTTTTTTCTTCTTTTGGCGATGAAATTGGTGTGGTGAAATGGTAAGTTAACGGAGATCTTTTTTTTTTTTTTTGAAATGGACAGAGATGTTAATTTGCTTTTTATCGCAAATTTTCTGAAATTTGAACTAGTGAAAAAAAAAAAAAAAAAAAAACTCTTTTTTCACTTTCATTTCTTTTGTCTTTTTAAATCTTATCAAATCTTCTAATTTTTTTAAAAAATTTATGGATATTCAGTATGCCACTTGATACAAGTTAAGGATTTATCTGGAGAAAATAACAATTAAAGGATTGTAATATGAGGACAAGAGGCTGCGTGAAGAATTTATTTAAGTTCAAAGGTTTTTTTTTTTTTTATATTGAACCATCATTTTGTGATGGACAAGAGCAAAAATACATTCAAATCCCCTAGAACACATAAAAGCAACACCAAGCTGATGCATGGTATGGTACAGGCAACGACGATTATAAACTTGTAAAACACAGCAGCAGCAATTGATACAAAACAAAGCAAGTAATAACCAAATAAACTAGTTTTACAAAGAGGTTCATACATGCACAATAAAAGATTAATTGTCAGCTCCTTGCTAGTCCCACCCTTTATGTAATAGAACATTTCTCAGCGATTGGTGCCATAGTTTACTTCTGCCGATTCCCTCTCGTTATCAGTTTGCTGTAATAAATAGGAAGAGAAACGGTAATGTTAGCAACGGGATCGCAAATTTATTTTGAAGACAGCTAGATACTGAATACTGAGTACATGTATTTTGAGAATGTTATTCAACAAATAAGCACGAATTGTACAAATGAATTGCGAATTAGAGCACTACCGGAGAGCAACAGTGACTTTGGCTGCCTTGTCAAACTCTTGGTTTTTTCTTGCTTTCAAGATTTGGAACATGAAAGCGAGGCGGATTTGTGTGTTTAGGCTCTGATGCATTATGAGTTTAATCTCCTTTTGTAATTGTTCACATTCCAATTCAACCGCTTCAAGTTTTTCTCTTACTTGTATTTGCCCCTGTTTTATCCTTTTTTGTTCCTCACTTGTTTCTTCCATATCCGATCTTAGCCTTTTCAAGCAGTTGCTGAGGTATTTCGAGTTTCCTCTCTGCTTCTGCTGCAAAATAAATTTTCATGTTAGAGATTTCATTTCTGTATGATGACAAGCTAATCAGTGAAGATAAAAAAAGATTCTGTAATTTAGGTTTTGATGCACGTCAGCTAAATTAACTTGGCGAAGAAAGAAGTTTACCATTCGAACCATAAAGCTAAGTGCAAGGAATGTTGATATAAAGCAATGATCGATGTCATCCGTTAGCTCATGCTTTTATAACGTGAAAACTATGAAGGAGTCAGTTTCAATTTTAATGATAGCCAATACACTTTAGGCTGAAATTTTATTTTTATGTTATCTAACTATTTGTTATTTTTCTAAAACAACCACTCAATCTAGTAATTTCTTTGATGTTGTTATATCATTGAAATGTAAAATATATATATTAAAAATACTTGTGGGTACAAGAAAAAACTAAATTCAGTAATTTAAAATTAATGAGAACAGAACGAATGACTCAAAACACAAACTCATTCAACATCTTCAATTAAGTATCCGACAACACCTGCTGCTGACGTTAATTTCTGAGGAAATTTCGAGAATGGGGCTTTATAATTGGAAGCGCATGGGTAGTCTTATGTTTCTTGCCTTTTCCTCCCACTACTTTCTAAAACACGGCAGCCGATCTGGACAATACCGCCAGAAGTCACGCGATATCGAACGATTTATTTTTGTATTAATAACGCCAGTCACGGGCTAGATTGACCTATCGAATCAATCTATGTGCGTTCTGATTACGCACAGTTTAATGCGTTAGTTGACAGCAAAAAATATCCGAATCAAATTGAGTTACATCGAGTTAATATATTGTTAGGTTTAAATTTAGTTTGACTCAAAAACTCAAAACTTGGAAGCTTGAATCGAGATTTATTGAGTTTTATTTTTTATATGTAAATTTGATTCGTAATTTAATTGAGTCACACGAGTTTGGTTAGAGATATAAATGAGTAGGATACGAAGAGAGTAAAATATTCCACATTTTTATTTTTGAATTTTTATATTATACATATTTTCATACCTATATTCAATAGATATTTTAAATTTATCTTCGTCCTTATCCTCATAAGTATGTTATAATTTGAGTAATCTCTATACTCATAACTTTTAAATTATAAAAACAAAAATTAATTTTTTTAGCTTTTTTATTTTTATCTTATATTTTTAAGTAATTTTTTATAATTGTATATTAATATATATTTAAAAAATATATTAATTCTAATTAACCTAAAATAATAATTTATATTATTTAATAAAAAATTTATTTACTAAATATAATAAACATATATATAGGGTATGGATATAGGACATGTGTTATATTATTTATCTCTATCCTCGTATCTAATAAAAATTTAAAATCATATCTATTTACATTCTCATACCTACAATATATATAATACCCATCCATATTTCTATTCAAATAAAAAATTGAGTTCTTGTTGAGTATAAGTAAAATTGACATCCATAAATTCAGCTTGATAAGCCCAATTAGGTTTGATAAATATATAAATTTTAATACTAAGCACTATTTTATATCATCTACTTATATATATTATATAAATAAAAACTTAAGTAGACTTAAGATATTAGGAATTATCATACAAGATACATATAAGCACATCAAAATTTTAAAAATTTCATTTCTCTAAGATAATGTTTGATATGAGGTGATCACTTCAAAAATTATGGTCATTTACACGTAGTGATTAGATCACCATGTTTATTTTTTGTGGCATTGATATTGAATCATCAAGAGTGATTAGATTACTATTTTGGAAGGTGATCTAATTCCTATAAAAAAATGAGAATTTTTTATTTTCGAGGTGAAATAATATATAAAATTAACAATAGTTGATATTATCCATTTAATATGTGAATTAAAAACTTACTTGTTCTCAAAGTTGTAATTATTTTATATTATAAATTTTTATAATTTCAAATTAATGCTCGTAACAAATTCAAAATAATTTGTATTTTTTTTATAATTTTAATGTTTTACATATAATATAATCTTTTTATGTTTTGTTGTGGTTATAATAGATTACCCTTATTTTCTAATTCAAATTTTTAAATATATTTTATGTTATAAAAATTGGTTTACTTAGTAAATAAATATATTTATTAATTTAATAATTTAATCACACTTTATTATAAAATAAACAAAATATTATTATATTTTACAAATTACTATTTTTATCAATATTAAAATCATTAAATTGTATAACTATTACAATATACATGATTATTTTCGTATTTTTAAATAAATTAATGTTTAATTTTTAGTAATACTAAATAGAGTAATATTTAATTTTTATGAATTAATGATTGTTAGTCAAATAAAATAGTTTCAAATCACAGGTGATAAGAGCACCTTGGTAATCTTTAAAATGATATTAAATATTACCTAAAAGCATGGGTCACATTGACAAGAACTATACAAACATAGATAAGTAATCAATAAAAACATATTTTACTTTACTTTTTTATGGATTAATATGTAACATGCCTCTTGTATCATACATTTTCTATAATTTTGGTATTTAAAGAAATAAAATTCTCATTTTGATACTTTAACTTTCATTTCATTAAGCACTTTAGTACTTTGTACTATTACCTTCAATTAGATAGCTGGCGTAACATGAACACCCAATAAAACTATGTCACATGTCATAAATATCTAGTCATCGCCATGTTAGCCATAGTTGCGTTAATCAAAATTTTATTTTTTTTCCCAATTATTTCCCTTTCACTTTTTTTTTTAATTTTTAAAATTTGAATTAACAATATATTTTTTAAAATTTTTTGAAATTATTATTTAAATGCTGAAGTGAAAAGAGATGATGTGATGATAATTGGACATTATGCCATGTGTCATAATTTTAATGGGTATTAATGATACTTAAGCAAGTTGATTAATGGTGTTAGACTGAAATATCAAAATACTTGACGAAATGAAAGTTTGGAGATTAAAGTGAGAATTTTATCTCTTTAGATATTAAACTAACAAAAAATGCATAATACATAAGCTTTTTTTATTGTGTTAAGATTTCACCAAGAACCTCAAGCTTGGTTACAACAAGCCAACAACTATCTAAATGTCTAACCTGTAACAATAATTCATTCGAACAAAGTGAAAAGGACCTTCTCAAGAGATGGGAAGATGCATAACGAAATTCTATGCCACTAGAATATCACTTCCCTTCTTTTTGTTTGTTCTCAATTTGAGTAATTCTATTTTAATGCTAATTACATTTAGAGGAGACCATTAATCACTTTTAAATAGAAGATGAATTTTTCCAAGTTCTACTACAAATAGAATTGTTTTTAGTCAATTCTTAATTCTCATTAAAACTCTTTTAACCAAATCATATTCTCAATAGGAGTCTTACTGTGTGGTCGACCATACCCTTCAATAATAGGTATTGGACCTTTATTAATTGCTCTATTTTCTGGTGTCTGATCTATTAGATTTTTTAACATGTTAGCAATAAATATAAATATTGTAATCAATAATTTTTTTTTGTTTACTCAAAATAAATTTTATTGATATATAAAAGAAAATTTTGCAATCCCACACATCTCTGTAGAAATAGAGTCCAACAAAATCACACCTAATGACCCCAGCTTATAGTACAAAATCATTCAATGAGTTTTCATTGCATCCAAGCATGAAAAAGGATTATAATTCTCCACTCCCATTTTGGCCAAAAATTACTACCCGGTAAGTATGAACAAAAACCCACCATTCCAATATCTTCTCGGAGCTTATCTATATCTTCAAAATCTTCCATAATTTTCATTGCTGAGGTTCACAATTACTAATAGCCACCCTAGAATTAGACTCAATAATTAAAGCATTCTTTTTCACGCAAGCATTCTTAACACACCTCCACGCCCAACAGGGCCAGGTTTATGCTTCGCTAATCAAGACACTTCCTTCTATTGCTTTCATCCAAAATAATGCTCTCAATTTAATAAAAAAAAAAAAAAATCTCCTCACCATCGCTGCCCTTGCTTTCATAAATTGAATCATTCCTTTCTAGCCATAAAACATATAGGATGGCTCCACGAACGAGCAGCCATCATTTCTTCAAGTGTCCCCTAAATGGAGCCATCTCACATTGCCTTAGCAAAGCCTCAACATGACGAGGCATTATCCACGTCAAACCCCACCAAATTAAAACATGGCTTCAATCTTCCCACTTATTCCTTTCCATTACCGCTTGGAGATAAGATCTTCGGACACTTTCATGATTACCCACTTGGTTTTCATTTGATTTCCCATTACATCTGCTTCTTGACTAACCTTCCCATTTACACCCCTATTCATACTTTTCATACTTTGAGTCTCCATTGCAACAATGTTTTTTACACCATCAACTCTTCTAACTCCAGCTTTACCCTAAAAGGAAGCTCTAGGATTAAACCTAACAAATTAACTCCTATCTTGTTTTCCAAGAGTCAAATGCCATTGAAATTCCTAGCCCTCCGCGTTTCTTCGAAAGATGCAAATCGCACAAATCCGATTCTTTTCCCACTTCTACCCCGTTTCCTAGGGATAAATACATCAATCACCTTCCAAAATCACTATAGACCCTCTCCAGCCATTTTCAATAATTAAATTTGAATTAAACAAATCAAATTTTTTGAGTTCATCATCAGTTTTTCTAATTAATCAATATTATAGTTGTAAATCAAGATCATTTAGCGATGAGTCATGACCCCCAATTGTCAAGGAAAGTCAATGTAGTTTGACATATCTATTCGTCCTTAGTTTCTTAATAATATCCTTTCATCAATTAATATTTCAGTTTAACATTGAATATGAATCAGTGAGTACTCAAGTTTTATTTAACAATATTACGTCTTGGGTTTGACATTAACTATTGAATAAGCTTTAAAATTATTCTAAAACTTTATTCCACTTTAACTAAAGATTTCTTGAATTAATTCACTAAAGACTAAGTGAGATATTGTTTAGGTCACACAGGGTGATGAATCTTATATCAATCACTTATTCATCTTCATGTATCTCTTATTATATCTAACAATACCCAACTGAAGCATCCATGGTCAAGACCTCAAGTAAAGTAAAATAAAATTATAATATTTAACATATGAGATCATTAGTAATATTAAGTCAAATAATCACTTATATGATTATCACATGAAAATATTGCTATAAACATTAAGTGATTTACCAAATAATATTCTCATATAAGACCATATTCAGTGAATTTTATCTTATAAGAAGCACTCATATGTTAGTTTAAGTTTATCTAAATTTCAAGTTATAAAATTAGTTGTTTGCTTTATAAGTAAAAGAATAAACATATGACAATCTCAATAATTTTTATCAATATCTTTTCTTGCAATTGATAAATGTATGACATATCACATGCTTGTACAATTAAAATGGCAAATCATGTGTATTGAAAATATTTGACACCCAAACATTTAGCTCAATAATTAATATATTTTTTTATTGACAAAAATTAAACTTAAATCTTATCTCGAATAATTCAAAAATATATATGAAGTAACAAATAAATTATACGATTAATCATTGAACTTTGATCAAAATTTTATTAAGATCATTTGATTTTATTTTGTCTTAACAAAATTACTGAAATTTGTTAAGTCACAAACATATTTCTTCTAAAAAATAATAAAAAAATGACATAATTAATATATAATTACATATAATTAATGAAAGAACTTACAACAAAAGCTTGCAAGGATCACATTGATCCTCATTAAAAAAATAAGAAAAAATTATAAATAAAGGTCATAGTAATCGCTAAAAACAACTTTTGTTGTAGTGTCGGCTATCATATCAACATTGAAAGACACCAAAAATATAAAAAAACTCACCCATCAAAACATGAAAGGCTTCTGCTTGGCTCTAAATTATCAGCCTTGAATTCATAACTAAATTTAAATCAAAGTAAAATAGAAAACTAGGCAATATTAAAAAAAATAAATTTGTAAATCGAACGATTTTACTTTGTTATTTTTTTTTTTGTTCACGATGATTTTCGTTAGCTTCAAAGTAATTGGATTTACAATTTTGTCTTCATGTGTTGGAGGAGTTCGCGAACACGGTGCGATGAAGTGCTTTATGCAAAGGAATTAGGTGGAATTTCCATCAAAGCATGGTTTGTTACGTAGCCACTCTTAAAGTTTTTTTCCTTTTCTTGAGCTTGGTTTCGGCACAATTTTGCTTGAGGTAACTTCTTTCTCTCACTACCCAAAATTTATTGTTTGTTTGTATTTTTTTTTTGGGTTTTTTCCCCTACATACGATTGCTTTATTACTCGGTAAAACTTTACAAGTTCTGTGAGCAATAAAGTTGGCGGTAGCTTGGTCCTGTAAGTTATCATTTGAACCATTTTGATATAACTGTGAAAACTTAAAGTTTAAGAACACAAAATTATTCAATTTAAAGACGAAAATGTGCATTACAATAACCATTTTAGTTTATTAATTTTTGAACACAAACTTTTATATAAAATGCTTCTTGCATTGGAGGAAACGTTGGCTTATATGGGCATTTGAGCATGCTTCTGCTGATTCTTTCCGGCTATCAGTTCACTGTAACAAATAGAAAGGGAAATGGTAATGTTTTGCCCAAAATTGACGAAGCTTTAACTTAAATAAAAAATTGTACTAATTGATGAAATTATAAATTAGAGCACTACCGGAGAGCAACAGTGAGTTTGGCTGCCTTGTCAAACTCTTGGTTTTCTCTGGCTTTCAGGATTTGGAACATGAAAGCCAGGCGGATTTGCGTGTTCTGGCTCTGCTGCATTATGAGTTTAGTCTCTTTTCGAAGCTGCTCACATTCCAATTCGATGGCTTCAAATTTTTCTCGTACTTGCCTTTGCCCGTCTCTTATCTTTTTTTGTTCGTCACTTATTTCTTCCATATCAGATCTTACCCTTCTCATGGCATTGTTTAATTTTTTCAACCTTTTTCTTTTCTGCCACAAAATAAAAACATGGCGTTTTTTAAAATATTTAGAAATTAAAATTATAAAATTGAAAATGTAGAACTTAAACCAGTCTGCATTCTATTTCTCTAAACCAAAAACAAATATATGATAAAAAATAAAGAACTTATAACGTACCAGACGGCCGATCCCTAAAGTTCTACGATGAAGGTCTTTTGGAAGTGCCAGCGGACGCCAAAACACGTTATGCATTATTTTTATTCCTGGCGTGTTATTCTTTTCCTCCCAAAATACCTTATATACTGCTGCATACATGTCGTGCGATATCGCATGCTTCGAGTGGAGTGTCGAACGAGTTTTTAAACGTGCACGCGAGTTGCATCGCTCGTCCATAGTGGCTCCCGAGGTTTTTGAATACTCAATTCCCATTAACATAAGCAATGACCAAGTCCACAAGTAATAATAAACATTACGAAACATCCCAATCCCCTCATTTGCAAAGTGTTAAAAAAATATCAAATCAAAAGACAGTCAAATACACCCAATATTCAATAAGATCTATTTAGAGAATATTAAACTTTTAATTTAAATGATAAAAATTTAATTTTTAGAAACTATTGAGTGTCTCAAAATTCCAACTGCCTCGATTACGCATCTTCTGCAGCTGAAAAGCCCAACAATTCTTCAGTTTTGTTAACCCCAATAGCTCTTTTCCTTTTTTCTAAGAAACAAAAGAAAACAAATTTTGAGACTTTTGATAAAGAGATGGAATCACTTGAAGAACACAAAACAAAAAGAGAATAACATTAAAAAAAAAATAAGGAAGTGTCTTCGATGAAGGTACCTTATTTTTGTGTGAGAGCGAAACGGATAAACTATCAAGTAGCAAATTTAAGGGTCCAAAATACTTCTCAAGCAAGGTAAAGCTTGGTTGACGGTTAACTTGTTTGATAACGAAATTTTAATATCTAATTATTAATTCACTAAAAAATTTTTAAATCAGATATTTCAAGTGAAAAAAAAAATCAAAAAATATGAAATTATGTTAATTATGTAAAAAAAATTTATATGTTAATTCATATTTGAGCCTTAATACACGAATAAATATCTAATCCAAAGTGTATATACTGTTTGAATACATTATTATAGGAAAATTTATATTTAGCAATAATTTTTTTAAAGTGATTTGTATAAATGTTGAAAAATATAAATGTTACAATTAAGTTGGTGTGCCATAATATTCTTCATATATCTTTTGTATTTGTTCATTAATCTTACAATAGGAAATATTCAACTCCTAGAAAAAGTTTCCGATTTCCGATTGTCTTCATCCAATGCGTCGCTTTCTTGAGTGATTGAGGTAACGTTTAATTGAACTTTCAATAAAACAACAAAGTCAACATCCGTGTCGAATTTGTGTTGTCTGTCATCGGGTGAACTCAATAAACTACGCTCGCGAGAGCCGCTCGATTTCGTCCGTTTTCGATAGTTAAACTTCGCGACTCGCACGAAAGCAAAATGTTAAAAATTTGGAGGAAAGTGTTCGCCAATTAATGAACCTTTTTTTCATCGAATAACTAAAAAGCAAAACCATGTGGGGCACAAGTTTTGCTAATCAAAACACTTGCGATTCGCAAACGATAAAGTAAGTTTCTGTAATCCGAATTTGGAATAACTTCTGCTAATTAAAAGAATTCTAAGGTGTTTTCAGCTCTCCTCTGGTCTAAAGGTCAATTTTACAAAGAGTACTTTATATGTCACTAATTGTTAGGATTATGATGATTCTAATTCTAGTTGTTAGGTAAAAAATCTCTAATTAATTAAATAATTAAGTCAATGAAAATAAAATTAAATAATTAACAAACTAAATAAGAGATAATAATTTAATTTGTGTTAGTTCAATTGACATATATTCGCAGATGAGAAAAAATATATTAGTTGTAGAAAATTATAAAAATATAATCATATTAATCAATACTCATAATCAATATTTATAGATCCTTTCATTCCCTTCTAATTTTACGGAGTATTTTCAACTCAAACAAATACATGCCTCATGTGTGTTTATGTCTATGTAAACTATCTTAATCTTTTTTATCCATCCAAACAAACATAACATTCATCATACCTATGTATATCTTCTTATTCCCTTCTAATCCACTATAAACATTCAAACATATACATACCCATAAAGACTTTCTTAATTTCCTTTAGTCTTATGAAATGTCCATTGCATAAAACCTTACATCTCATATCCCTCTTTCTTTCAAACTTAACCTTATTGAGACTATTTTATTTATAAACATACTAATTTACCTATGAAGAATTCATTTCCTCTTAGAATTATTCTCTTGTAACTTTTTTATCCATCAAATAATATTTAGTCAATCTTAAAAAAAATCTCAATAAAATCTTTTATAAGATTTAAGTTACTATCCTTATAATTTTCACCAAAACTCAAATTCTATCAAATCATTTTCATCCAAATATGTTGGGCTCCATCTACAAGAGGAATTTAGTACAATTTTCTTTGTGTGTCTTCACAAATCGATATCTTATAACATGAATTCAAACTCCTCCCTTGAATCTAACTCTTTCGAACTTTTCTCTTCCCATATCTTAAACTTTCACTCTAATATTAGTTATTAAGTTCACGACAACTCTAATTCCAATTGTTAGGCAAAAAGCTCCCAATCAATTAAGCAATCAAGCCAAGAGAAGTAAACTCATATAATTAATCAACTACATAAGAGACAACAATTTAATAAAGTTAGCCCAATTAACTTATTTTCACAATAAAAAAAAAAGATTTACTAGTTGTGAAAAATTATAAATATATAAACATATCAATCAACACTCACAATCAATAACTATGGACCCATGCCTATGTGAACTACCTCAATCTCCTCTAGTTACCCAAACAAACATAACATTCATCATACTTTTATGAACCTTCTCATTCTCCTATAATTCACTACAAACATTCAAACATATACACTCCTAAAGACCTTTTTAATCTCCTGTAATCCTATGAAAGGTCTATCTTATAAAACTTTACAATGTTTTTACATATTTCTCTCATATCTAATCCATTGAGACTTCACTATTTATAAGCATACTAACTCATTTATCAAGAATCTCTTTTTTCTTAGAATTATTTTCCTACAAGTTTTCTTATCCATCAAGTAATATTTAATCAATCTCAAAAAAATCTCAATCAAATCTTTAATAAGATTTAAGTAATTATCCCAACACTAATGTTAATCGTCAAAATATTGAAGAATGAACTGCTATATTACACTGTGAAGCGGACTTTCTCCCCTTTAAATATCTTGGTCTTCCCCTTGCGCTAACCTAAGAAGAATATCAACTTGGTAGCCGATGATCAACACTTTTAAAAGGAAACTCTGTCAATGGAAAAGTAAACTTCTGTAAATCGGTGGTCGGGTTGCTTTAATCAAATATGTTCTTGCTAATCTGCCAATCTATTACATGTCCCTGTCCAGATTGCCAAGTAGTGTGGCCCAAGAACTTTGAAAAAATTCAATGTCAGTTTCTGTAGGGAGATTCAAAGGGAAAATGAAATTTGAGACTTATTGATTGAAACACCATTTGTGGAAGCAAACATTATGGAGGCCTAGGAGTGGTTACTGTTGAGACTTGCAACCAGTTGCTCTTGTTAAAATGGCCTTGGAGATTTGACAGTTAGTTTGATTCCTTCTAGAGGAAAGTGGTTTGCAATATATACAACATGTCCTCAGCTGATTTGTGGCCTATTCCCTGCCAATCTCGTTTCTCTTCTCGTGTCTGGAGTGACATTCAAAACAATTGGCGCTCTAAAAGAAATTCTAATCTTATTATTTCTAGTTTTCTTCTCTATGCATGGACGGAGCAAGGATAAAATTCTGGTATGGTAAATGGATCAACGTAATCTTATTATTTCTAGTTTTCTTCTCTATGCATGGATGGAGCAAGGATAAAATTCTGGTATGGTAAATGGATCAACGTCTATGTTGTTTGAGAGGGGATAAAATGGCGTTGGCACATTCGACCGGAGAGAAACCTCTTTGACTGGGAGTCTGACCTTTGGGACCAAGTTATTGCACTACTTAACTCTGCCTCTTTTTCACCTTCAGCCCCTGATAGATTGATTTGGGCTCATACAACAAACGGTGTTTACAAGCCAAAATCCTTTAGAAATGAGTTGGAGAAACCCTCAAACAACGAAACCCCGACTAAAAGCTACATTTGGAAAGGTTTAATTTAACCCCTTTGAAAGTTTAGATCTTCTACTGGAAAGCATTGACAGGAGGCATCCTAGTGATGGACATCCTTCAAGCAAGAGGCTGCTCAAAGAATATTGCAAATAAGTGGGTTTTTTGTGACAAGACGGAATCAGTGAAAGACCTCCTACTATTTTGCAATTTCTCATGGAAGGTTTGGTGCCAATTCTGTCCTTATTGGGGTTTTTCCAGGTAATATTGGTTCCTTAAAGTTGTCATTCTTCTTGGAGTGGACTGATGGACAATAAGGATCAAAAGATTATTTGGCACTCGTTTTAAGCTAGTATATGGTCCATCTGGTTTGCGCACAACGAAAAGCTTTTCAATAAAAATGTCTCTCTCTCTCAACCAAATCTACAACCTTATTAGCATCAGACTTTGACGGTGGATGAAAGCACAATTTCTAGAGAAGAATCTTTTGACCCTGAATTTTCAATCTAACATCCATGACAATAGCTTCCTCCTGCCAAAAAACAGGCCAGGCCACATACCTTCTGGTCGCCACCTCCCTATGGAATTTGGAAGATTACCGTGGACGGATTTACATTTGGAATGCCTGAACCAACGGGAATTAGAGGTGTTGTTCTGTACTGGGAAGGTAACCTTTTGTTTATTTTCTGAAAAAACATTGGGATTAAATACTCATACTTAGCTGAACTAATAGCTGTTCTTGAAGCCCTATCTATCACGATTGAAGCCAAAATCAACCCTCTTCCAGATATTATCGTTGAAAGTGACTCGCAAGTGGTCATCTCTTGGCTCAACGAACTTAGTGAAAGTCCTTGGAAGTACAATGACGTTTTTAAAAAGCTTCTAAATTTATACGTCAACACTAGGAAAATTATTTTTGTTCATATTGTTAGGGAAGCTAATCACTTTGCTGACAGTCATGCTAACATGGGAGTTAACCCCGAAGTTGTGAGCTAGTGGCTTTATTATAGTTATGTAACTGTTTCTATTAATAATATTTCTCTTAAATTAAAAAAAAAAAAATGAATACAAATACACAGAAACACGCTAGCTTTCATAATTTAATATTTGAAGTTGCAGTCCAAA